TTGTTCGGTGTCGTGCGTGTTTTTTTTTTGCTTGATGGTCCAGGATGATCATTGTTCTCGCCGAGATAAAATGCACACGTCCGAGCGATGCCAGGTGAGACTTCGAAGAGTGCAACTGATAGCGTCGTGCGGCGACCCTGGGGGCGAGGCCGCGCGGACTTGAGAGATCGGCATCGCATGTCTCAAGAAGTCCCTTTCCCTGGGGTCCCTTTGGAAACCGCATGAAAGCCGGACCAAAAAGCCTGCAGGGGGCGCAGAGTCGAGCTCGACTGGAGAGGCCACTCGAGTTCGGTCGGGCCTGTCCCCCTACAGGGGGAGTTTGGGCGAAACATTCAAAATACTTAACAAATCCCCCCAAGAGTGTCAACAATGGTTTAAACATGGTCCCCAGACTAGTATTTGACTATGTTTGAGCATTCCTCCTGTAGACGGAGAGACACGCCCGACTTAACACTCGAGCTGACACCAGACCGCTCCGAGGGCACCGGAATGCAGGGAGGGCAGGGGCCGCGAAGCAGAGGCTACAAGGGCACCCTTGACTTGGAAGGGTCAACCTACTAATTCTAAGTCGGGCCTGTCCTCCCACAGGGGGATTGTGGACGAAAAACCTCAAAACAGTCCAACATTATTCAAACATGATCGAAGACTACTTTAAACATAGTCCCCAGAGTATTCTTTTTACTACTTTTGAATATTCCTCCTGTAGAGAGACAGGCCCGACTTAATACTAATCAAACTCGACGGTAGGCAGGAAAGCCCCGAATCGATGAGTCGGATCGGCGCTCAACACGAACGGAATCGGCGGGCATCGGCAGCCACAGGAGAAATCGAATCGGCGGAAATCAGCTCGCTAGTGAGGCCTCCATTGAGAAACCCGAGTCGAAATCGGAATCCGAAGTCGAATCGAACCCGAATCGGAAGCAATCGAGCCTGAATCAATTCGAGTCGGAGGAGGCGAAACGAGCCCTGCTGTGGGAGGACGCCGACCATACACTAGCTCTGGGCGTCGCCAAGTCCATTCTGGGCCCAAAGGTCGGTGCACGCGCCCTCCCGGCTTGGGCAGGACTGGCGCGTGCATCTGGTCCTGGGCCCAGGCGCGGCCTGGCGAGGACTCGCACTGGCGCATGACTGGCGTCCCCCGAGGCGAAAAAAGCGGCCTCTCATGTTGACGAGGCGGAGGTTGAGGAGGAGGACGACAAGGATGACGGAGGAGGAGGTGTGAGGAGGAGGAGGAAGTTGGGGAGGGGGGGGTGAGGAGAAGGAGGAGGGAGGAGATAGGAAGAGACAGGAGGAGGAGTAGTAGGAGTGAGGAGGGGAGGAAGGGAGGAAGGGAGGAAAGGAGGATTGGAGGAAGGGAGGGGGGACGAGGAGGGAGGAGGGAGGAGAGCTGGAGGAAGAGGGAGGATAAGGGATGAAGGAAAGACTGAAGAGAGGGACGAAGGGAGGGAGGGAGGGAGGACGAGGGCGAGGTAGGAAGGAGGGAGGAGATGGGATGAGAAGGAGAAAGAGGCCCCCTCGCGCCACTCCGCGCCTCTCGACGCAGCGGCCGCACTCCTTGCAGTGGTAGGACCGCAACGTGCGGCACCTGGCTGGTGTGCGGGGATGGGCGCAGCGGCCCGTCCTCCCCGCCCCGTATCAGCATCTGCATCAGCATCAGCATCGGCATCAGCATCCTCATCGTCACCATCAGCATCATCACCATCAACATCGTCATCAGCATCATGAGCAGCAGCATTGTCATCACCATCACCATCATCATCATCATCATCAGCATCATCATCATCATCATCAGCATCATCATCACCATCATCACCATCAGCAGCAGCATCAGCATCAGCATCATCATCGTCATCATGATCATCATCATCATCTGTATCCTCCTCATTACCATCATTATCAGCATCATCAGCATCAGTTTCATCATCATCATCATCATCATCATCACCATCACCATCAGCAATATCAGCATCATCGTCATCCTCATCAGCATCGTTATCAGTTTCATCATCATTATCACCATCATCAGCATCATCATCGTCGTCATCATCAGCATCAGCATCATCAGCATCATCATAACCATCATCACCACCACCATCATCATCACCATCAGCATCTCTCATTTCTCATGTTCATCATCATCCTTGGTGTCAACATCATCACCATCATCAGCATCATCATTTTCACCATCATCATCATCATCGTCATCATCATCATCATGATCAGCATCATCATCATAATCGCGATCATCATCAGCATCATCATTAGTGTCATCATCATGATCACCATCATCAACATCACCATCGTCGTCATCATCCGCATCATCATCCTCATCATAACCATCATCACCACCACCATCATCACCATCAGCATCTCTCATTATAATCCTCATCCTCATTTTCAACAACATCATCATCATCATTATCATCATTATCACCATCATCATTACCATCATCACCACAATTACCGTTACCATTACCATCAGCACAAAAAGACGCTCCCATCCGACCTTCTAATCCTCCTCCTCATCCTCATCCTCCTCCTCGTCCCCCGACTTGCTCTGCATCATCATGGCAGGACACCGCCAATCCACCTGCCCCCTCTTAAGATGATGAGGATGTTAGTCAGGATTGGAATGAGAACAAGGATAAAGATGAAGACGAAGAGGGGGTAGTGGAGGATGAGTATAACGCGAAGCAGAAGCAGGGACGAGAAGAAAGCATGGAAGAACAAGACGGCGGGAGGAAGAAGGAGCGGGATCAGGAGGAGGACGACGAGGACAGGAACGACGAGGACGAAGTGAATACATATCTCGTTTCGCAATCCGCTGAACAATGGAGCTGAAGACCAGCCTCAGAGAGCCAAATTGGTATCAATGCCACGCTAATCGGACGGCCCCGTCAGCATATCACTGAAAGGGCACAAGATTGTTGCACCAAAGAGGATTGCGTATCACGCACCGGAAGAAAGAGAGCGTGTCGCTGGTGCTTTACTTGATGCTCCGTCGAACCCACCACTCGCCACGACGTGGGTCGTTCCTGGGGAGGGCGCCCAAAACCGGGGATCTTCTGACCCGGGTCAATCCAGACCCGGGTCAGCCAGGCCTTGCAAAATCCTGCAAGATCCTGCAAGACCCTGCACCCAAACCCGGGTCAATGCGAAAGATCCTTCAAGATCCTGCAGGGTCCTGCACCCAAACCCGGGTCAATGGGAGGCTGGCCCTGCAGGATCATGCAAGATCTGGCGCTCTGGCTGACCCCCGTTTGCATTGACCCCCGTCTCAAGGCTCCCGACAGAGCCCAGACCTGAAAAGGCCGGCCGCCGTGATTGCTCACCACTCTGGAGGAGGGCACCCCCAGTCTGGAAGCCTCTGGGCGTCTCCAGAGGCCTCTGCAGGTCCCTGGACTCTCCCTGTTCCCACAGAGAGCCCACGCTGACACAGATCCTCGATACACTCGACCAGGATAGTAAAGATGCGCGGTAAGGATGCAAGGGCCTTTGAACGCCATGTTGACGTTTCCCGTGCGGAGCGCAGAATGCCGAAGGATGCCAAATACCGAAGGGGCAAGGATGCAAGGGTAGCCTTGGAAAGCTGCCCCATCCTTACTATCGTGGTTGACTGTAACTCCTCGTCCTCCTCGGGTGACGAAGTGAGTGGAGGAAGCACAGGAGACCATAGCTCCAATGTATGCGTGCATTTTTGATGCGCAGGCCATCGGAGCTTTCGACCCCTTCAGGGGGACTGGCTTTCCACTCCGAGTTGCTTTCTCGCGCTCCTGAACTCGAAAAGGCATACCCATGCCCGTTCTGATGCTTCCAAGACGACGGAGATCTAGGGAACGTTCGGCTGCACGCAGTAGTGGCCCTAGGTACGAGCGACCTGCGGTGCGAAGCTTTTGGGAGGGGGGCTAAACGCTGAACACGAGCGCGCAAGCCGCTGCCTTCGTGGGCCCGCGACAGAGGTCACTCTGGCGAGGGGTCACTCGCACGTGCAACCGAAACTCGGCGGCACTCGAGGGCGGGCCTTCGCAGAAGGCTCCGACGGCCCTCTGGGCGTCTGAGAAGAAAGGCACAGAGGGCTTCTCACAAGGGAAGCACGCCCGCATTCTGAGAAAGCCCATCCTCTCCTGGCTGCCCCCTCGGCTCTCGAGACCCACCTCGGCTCCCCCGTGGCCGTTCGGAACGATCCGGCCATCTCTGGACGCCTCTAGGCGAGGCGCGGCTGCTGGAAGCGTCCGAGCACGGGAAGCCGCCGATAACCGACGCAAACGCCCGAAGTCCTCGAACCACGAACCCGAAACTCTCCGATTTTTCCCCTCGGCGCGCCGCCGATATGCGACCCTCCCCCCTGGCGGCTTCACCCCATATTCGGGGATGGACAGAACCCACTTTAGTAAAACGTGGTTTAGTGGAAACGACCTCGGGCCCAAAATGGCGGGCGGAAGCATGGAAAATGACGGCCGCGGCGGGCTCCTGTCCACCCCCGATACATGCACCACCGTAGGGGGGCAGGTGAGGAGGGAGGAGGGAGGAGGGAGGAGGGAGGAGGGAGGAGGAGGAGGAGGAGGAGGAAGAGAAAGAGGAGGAAGAGGAGGAGGAGGAGAAGGAGAAGGAGGGTAACGGGTACGCCGCCGACCGCGACATAGACCCGACATCGAAAGGTATCGAAAGGAGGAGGAGGAGGGGGAGGAGGGGGAGGACGGGGAGGACGGGGAGGAGGAGGAGGAGGAGGATATGGAGGAGGAGGAGGAGGAAGGGGAGGAGAAGGAGGAGGAGGAGGAGGAGGAGGAGGAGGAGAAGGGGATGAGAAGGACGATGAGGAGCAGGACGAGGAGGAGGGAGGGAGGGAGGGAGGAGGGAAGGAGGAGGAGGGAGGAGTCGGCGGCGCCTCCGGCACACCGTGCACAGGTGCTGCAGGTCCCCCCGCTGCACCGCCGCCGCGTACTCCGCGCCTCGCGCGCCGCGGCCGAGCGGCACACCACGCGGGGGCCCCGCCCAAGAGCCTCCCCTCTCGTCACGAATGCGGGCAAGACTTGCGTCCACATCCACTGCAGCTTGGAGTTCTGGGCCTCCCTACCCAGAAACCCGAGGTGCACTGGATGTGGGTCAACATCTGGTCCATATCCAGTGCGCCTGGGCCGTGCGGCGCCCCTTGCCAAAAAAATCCAAGACGCACTGGATATTGAGATAACGATAGCCCGCCACCAAGGGATTCCGAGGGGAACCCTGCGAGTTTTGCGACGAGGATCGAGGATCGATCATTCGAGGATCGAGCTTCGAGGAACGAGGAACGAGGACTGAGGTCCGAAGACTGAGACAGCGAGGAGCAAGGATCCTGAGGAAGACGAGTCCGACGGATCTGCTGAACATATCCAGGTTCGAAGACCGAGGTTCGTTGATCGAGCACCCATCATGGAGAACCGACCATCGATCTCAACCACGGAGAGCTATCCTCAAAACACCCATTGGCGCCAGCGCGCTTGCCCAACCGGAGGGAGAGACGCAGAATGCAGTACACCGGACTCACTTCTATAGCGCTCACTTCTATAGTGCGCGTATGTGCGTCGGACTGTGCGTGCATGTGCGTATGATGGATACATCAAAACACAGCGCACATGCCCCCGCACATGCCCAGGCACGACGTGCACAGTAGGAAGTCCATCCAAAAAGGACCGCACAGGCCTGGCACATGACTGGCACATGCCGCGCACATGCGCGCACATGACAGCGCAAAAACGGCCGCACATACACCCACCCAGGGGTATAGATGTGAGTGCGGTGTATCCTATTTCTTTGATCGGCGATGCCCACCCCCTGGCGCGCGAAGCGCGCCAGGGAGCGGCGCCAGAGGCGCCACCATGGGGGCTCAGCGCCGACCCAAGACATCTACACAGGGCTCCGGAAGAAGTTGCTTCTGCGGACACCTCCACGGAGGCCTTCGATGGAGCTCCCTATGGGGCCACGAAGTGCTGCACTGGGGTAGGGGCGAACGCATGCGGCCATCGCAACTTGGACCTTCAGTGGAGCTGCTTATGGGGCCACGAAGCGCTGTGCTTGGTGGGAGAAACGCATGCGGACACCGCCACTGGGGCCTTCGATGGAGCTCCATATGGGGCAACGAAACGCTCTACTGGGTGGGGGAACGCTGTGTTGTGTGTGGGGGGGGGGGGGGCGACGCATGCGGGCGGTGCCACTGGGGCCTTCGGTGGAGCTCCCTCCCCTATGGGGCCACGAAACGCTGCACTGGGTGGGGGTGACGCATGCTGGCGGTGCCAGTGGGGGCCTTCCGTGGAGCCCCCTGTGGGACCACGAAACGCTGCACTGGGTGGGGGTGACGCATGCGGGCGGTGCCAATGGGCCTTCGGTGGAACTCGCTGTGGGGCCACGAAACTATGCACTGGGTCGCGGCAACGCGTGCGGGCGGTGCCTCCGAAGCCTTCGGTTGAGCTCCCAATGGGGCCACGGAAACTGTACTGAGTGGGGGCGATGCACGCTGGCGGTGCCACTGGAGACTTCGGTGGAGATCCCTGTGGGGCCGCGAAACGCTGTACTGGGTGGGGGTGACGCATGCGGGCGGTGCCACTGGAGCATGCGGAGAGCAGAAAAACTGGTGCTGATGTTGATGACGTTGATGGCGATGACGATGACGAAGCTGATGATGACGAAGCTGCTGCTGACGATGATGCTGATGCTGCTGATGATGGTGACGCTAAATATGAGGATGATGGTGTTGATGATGATGATGAGGAGGAGGAGGAGGAGGAGGTGGAGGAGGGGGAGGAGGACGAGGACGAGGACGATGACGAGGATGAGGATAACGATGATGCTGATGATGATGCTGATGCTGATGATGATGATGATGTTGCTGCTGATGATGTTGATGGTGGGAGCAGGCAGGAGGGAGATTACCAGGAGAGGAACGTCGACCATGATGATGATGAGGATGAGGATGAGGATGATGATGATGATGCTGATGTTGCTGATGATGATGCTGATGATAATGATGCTGATGATGATGCTGATGATGATGCTGCTGATGATGATGCTGCTGCTGATGATGATTATTATGCTGATGCTGATGCTGATGATGATGGAGGAGGGAGGAGGAGAGAGAGGAGGAAGGAAGTAAGGAAGGAGTGAGTGACGCGGGCGGTCTCTTCAAAACGAGGACCCGAAACCACAGCATGGTCGGGGAAAACAACACAAACAAACCACGACACATAAGCGAAACATCGGCGACGCTCTGAATCCTCCCCACCCTCTGAGGGGGCGGGCGCTGGGGGGTCCCAACACGCTGCGGTGACAGACCGTGCGGTGACCTCGAAATCCGCAGAAAGGACCTCACCACGCGGTCTGGTCCCCCTAGACGTCCCGCGGAAGACTGCCAACAAACCAGTGCGGTGACACGGAATCCCCACTGACCCACCGCACTCTACGAAGCCAGAACGAAGACAAATACGGGTAAGGATAAATCGAGAATCTCTGAGATCCGGCGGCTCTGGAGGATGTCTCAGGCGCCGAGGCCTTCTCGGAGCGTTCCGGAACGCTCTGCAACGAATTTCGGGCCATAACCAAAATTCCTGGCCGCCCTTCGGGACGATCCGGGCACCTCTGGACGCCTCTCGACGACGCGCGGCTTCTGGAAAACGTCCCGAGTATGCGAGGCCGCTGAGAACCGACGAAAACACCCCATAGCCTCAAACTTGCAGCAACAAGAAGCATCACCCCCCCACCCTCGGACCGCTTCAAAGCCTGATTACCCTAGAAACCGTTCCGCTGGTTCGCGACTCCACCGCGGTGGCTGGCGATACGGTCACACGGTGTTAGAAGAACTTCTGGAGTTCCGAAGGTGTATGCTTATGCAGTTTGGTTTTCTCCCGGTGTGGTCGCCGCAGCGTTTGGGCCCCCCTGGCCCGCGCCAGAATACAACAAAAGTTCTCGATCCAACGCCAACACGATGTTCAATGTCGGTTACACTTCCAGTCACACCGCGTTTCTGGTCACAATCTCTCGGGCAGGCTCTCGGTCATCATTTGTTTGTCGGTCACGTACCTTTCCCACTGAGATATGGTCACACGGTGTTGCGGCGACAGCAAGCGACCACAACCACGTCGAGGACGCACGTCAGAACAACGAAACCAGCTGAGTACTGGTTGTGGTCGATGTGGGCATCCCAGACTGCCGCATCGACACGACCACAACTCAAGTGTTCATGTCGAGGTCGCTAAGGTCTCCCCCGAGGGGCCACCCAAAAAGAATCATCCAGCTATGGCTGTGGTCGTTTATTCTGGCAAGAGGTGCAGTCTCTGCACCCCTTGCGCGCTCCAGCCCACCTTTGAGACGGCAGGTGTCCGGGTGTCTGAACTGGCCAGGGCCCCACAAAGCCGTCAGGGGGGGGTGAGGCCGAATCTGCTCAGAGTCGGTCCCCAGACCCTCCCGGGGTCCATCTGGTGCAGTAGTATCACAGCGGATCAGTCTTTGACGGTCCTGGGGCCCGAAGACGCCCCGCGGAGGTCGAAACAGACAAAGAGCCCTCCCGAGCCCAGCACCTCGACCCTGCTCCTCTTTCCTGCTGGCCAGAACCCAGGCAGGACCCCCTCCGACCCCGCCCCTGGCCCCAGCCCCGGGCCCTGGCCTTGGCCCCGGCCCCAACCCGATGGGCCCGGCCCCGGTGGTCACTGCAACGCTTGGGAGCCCTCGGACCAGGTCGGGCATGTCATCCTACAGGCGGAACTGCGAGGTAACATCTACAACAGCTAGTCAAACAAAGATCCAGCATAGTTTGAACCAATCATCAAATAATCGTCCCCAGACTTTCCTAGGGGAACAAAGCGTGACATAAACATAAGAACTCGGAGGTCCGCGCGGATTTCTCGGATCCGCGCTGGACCCCCCCGGCGGCGCCTCCGGCGCCGCCCCTGGCGCGCTCTGCGCGCCAAGGAGGGGGGTCCAGCGCCGATCCGAGAAATCCGCGCGGACCTCAGAGTTTTTATGTTTATGTCACGTTTTGTTCCCCTATCTTCCTGGACTATTCTTGAATATTCTTCCTGTGCACGGGGCGTGCCTGGCTGATCCCTCGGGCCCCCCTCTCGGGGAGCGGCGTGGGGAGGTCCGGGCCCCGCGCCGGGCCCGCCGCCGCGGCCCAGCAGCTCGAGCAACCGCAGGCGGCCCAGCTGCCCCGCGGTGCTGCGCGCGAGGCCTTGCCGGAGGATCGAGGATCGAGGATCGGGCATCAAGCATCGAAGGGTCGAGAACCGAGCATCGACGTTCGAGGGTCGAGCACCGAGCATCAAACGTGGAGGACTGAGGATCTTCGAGGATCGAGGATCGAGGATCGAGGATCGAGGAGCACGGATCGAGCATCGAGGCTCGAGGTTGATCATCGATTAATTATCGAGGATCAGGCATCGAGAATCGAGCCTCGAGCATCGAACACCGAGGTTCGAGGATCGATGTTTGCGTATCGAAAAATGAGGTTCGAGCATCGAGCATTGACGCTCGAGCATCGAGCATAGAGCATCGAGGACTGAGCCTCGAGGACAGAGGATCGAACTTAGAGGCCCGAGGATAGAGGACCGAGCATCGGGGATCGAACCACGCACGACCCGCCCCCTCTGATGATCCTCAGAGCGGCCCTTGGCGCCAGCTTGCGCATGTCAACCCGACAGGAGCACGGAACGACTGCACCAACAGTCGCTCTCGAGGGCCCGCGCGGAGTGCTTGGATCGGCGTCAGGCCCCCCTCGGAGCGCGCCAAGGGCGGCGCCGGGCGCAAACAGGGGGTCCAACGGAAATTCAATGCATCCACGCGGACATCCGAGAAGATGTGCTTATGCTGTCCTCTCTTTTTTTGACCGAAGCCCCTCGATACGACGCAGGATGTGCAATCAGGGTGGACACAGGCTGCGTGCTACACGAGGAGTTGAACGGGGTAGCACTGACATTGGACTAACACGCGCCTGAATCCTAAGGAACATCGAAGGGAGCGAGAGCGTGCGAGGTTCGATCATCGACACTCGAACCTCGGGCCTCGATACTCTATCTCGACACGCCCCTCCCGTCCTCCCCCTCCCGTCCCCCGGCTCCAATCCTCCCCCCCATTCTCCCGCCCTCCCCTCATCTGCGATTACGTCGTGCAGGCGCTGGTCTGCACTATAGCAAACATCACTCACACAACTCGGCCTGGCCCCTCAAGGGGCAAGTCCAGAATGAACAACGGGCAGAAGTACGTGTAGAACTACGCTGGGCCGCCTGGTCATGGAGCAAACAGGTCTACCTGGTAAACAACTCCTACGTCCAGAGAGGCCTGACGGCGCTGATCACCGCTCGCCCACTCAAGTTCAAATATCACCAGGACCTTTGGCGAAGGATCAAGCAGGCCATCGACGCCAAGGACCATGACATGTTCAAAGCGACGATGGTCAAGAGCCATCAAACGTCCGCTCAGACCGAGACGGAGGCACCATCAGCACGATCCTCACGACGAAGAAACGCGTTCGCCGACAAGCTCGCAGTCGAGGGACCCAAAACCTACATCGTCCCGTTCGCCATGACAGAGCGGCACAAGTACCGTGTATCGACAGGGCAGCGTATCCAGTCCTACTGTTTAGACGTCGCCCAGCAACGGGCAGAAGAAAGTGTACGACGATTGGGTCGCAGAAGCCGTGGCTCCAAAATTCAAGAATATGTCGAACAAGCTGAACATCTTGCTGGACACCCCGACGAACACCATGAGTACAATCCTTTCGATGAAAGGGAAGAAGAGAACGCATTCGGCTCTGGAGGAAGCCTCAACAGTCAGGACGACTTGGGCGGCGACGCGCTGCCAGAAGTTTCAGAACCTCCACCGACTCTAGCCACCACGGCACTTCCACCAGCATCGTCAACACAACTACGACGACGTAGGGCGAAGAGCTCCCCACAAAGCAGAGTCACCACCACACCCTGCAGCCCTGGGCGGGAAGCTCGAAAGGGGATCTCTCGCCAAAACACACGTCGAAAACAGAAAGCCCGACCACGGCCACGCCGGCAGCACCACTAGACGCTGCAGCCACCAAGGGGAGCGTCTCCCTTCACTACTGGTGGGAGCCGCGTATGACTGCCGAACGGACGCCTCCATTGAAAGGCACCGCCCTGGCTTCGACGACCTTTTGGAAGTTGGACTGGATATGGACCTTGTCTCTTATCGAGCCGTTGCACTGGTATACCTGGTGCTGGTCCAACACGTACGTGGACGACGCCCCCAGTTTCGACGAAGCAACATCAAAGTACGAGACACTGTCCAACGCGCAGACGGCAAATATCGTGCTTCTCCTGGACGCTTGCTTGGCTACAGGGGAATGGTTCGCGCGGCGAGGAGTCGAAAAGCGAATTGCCTCGATTGGTACGCAAAGCGAAGATGTCCTCGGCAGCCACTACTAACCTCTTCACACGAATTGGCCGTCAATCAAATGGGAAGTCCTACTCCGATAAGGCTAAGAAGACGCAGACACCATTTCCTCCAGTCCAAGAATGTCGCCAGCTGGTGGCAATGGGACTATCCAAAAGCACTGGAGTGATGTGACGCTTGCACACGCTACGACCTGAAGCTATCAACAGCCTGCTCTTCGGCTGGACCTCATTCTATGCTACAGACGAGAAGCCGAAAACATGGTCAACTATTTTCCTGGCACGTTCCCCTTCAGACCGCTCTGGACGGGAAATCTTACAGCTCATACAGCGCCGCCTCCACCACTACCAGTGACAGGAGAGGTTCGGCGCCTGCGAGGAAAGCAACCTCGACTCCAAGAGCGACCAGCCCCAGCAGGTGCCAGACCCCAAAGACGGTAACAGCAAGAAGAACAAGTGCACCAGCAAGTACACCTTCGCCATCGACGCCAACCCCCCATTCAGGAATCAAGCTGGTCAAAGAAATGCCAAGCCACAAGTTACAGCATAACGTTCTTCGGGAGCTCACAGAGTTCACGGAGAAAGGGAAGACTTTCCTGTAAGGAATCAAGCATCGCTTTCTGCGGACAGGAGAAGAGCAGCGGATTTTCCACAATCGCGCTGCTGAAAAAGATCATACACTACATTCCTTCGACACACCGTTAAAGGACTATGAGACCAAGACCCATGCATGCGCACGGTGCCAATAAGTTGTGGACATATCTACAAGACTCGGAGTCTGCTGGTCTATCAAGGCAAAGCATCGCTGCCCTGGCCACCATCTAGCCCCCCGCTGGAAGGGTAAGCTCGACACGTACAACTCGCAGATGGGTCGTAAAATTGGTTCGGTGAAGCGGCAGATTATTCATCACAAGAAAGGTGCGCTTCGTGAGCCATTGCATATCTTTTCTGAGGTACCAGCCGACAATGCAGAACGACTTCACTGTAGACGTCCAGGATGCAATCTGAACTTTGAGTCTACTAATGGAAGCATATGATTAAAAAAACATTTGAGGGCGACGTTGTAAAAAATAGTTTCGCCGGCCTGGTTGGGCCCACATAAGGGGGGGAGGGGGCGCCGCCCACGGAGGGCCCCCCCAGGGCGAACAAATAAAGTTCTCCGGGGGACAATTATGGTTGCCCTCCGGGCCGTCTGGAGGGCCAGGGGGGGGGCGAGGGCAGGCAATGCGGAGCGGGCGGGGTCGGCCCTTCCCTCCTCCCTCCTCCTTCCGCTCCTCCTTCCTCCCTCCTCCCTCCGGCCTCCCTCCTCCCTCAATTCCTCCTCCCTCCTCCCTCCCTCCTGTCTCCTCCTCCTCCCTCCTCCCTCCTCCCTCCTCCCTCCCTCCCTCCTCCCCCCCTCCCTCCTTCCTCCTCCTTCCCTCAGCAACATAACACGACGCCGCAGGCGACCGCACGGACGCGCGACACCACTTGGGCGGGAGCGAATCACTTGAATTGTTTCTTGTGGCCATCACAGTATGTGTCCACGCGACGAGCGAACAAACAAACGCTGGAGGGAAGGAGAAAGGGGGGAACGATTAAAAAATCAGTTTCGGGCCCCAGCCCTCCTCCCTCCTCCCTCCTCCCTCCCACCTCCCTCCTCCCGCCCTGCCTCGCCTCCCTCCCCCCTCCCCCCTCCCTCCCTCCTCCCTCCTCCCTAGGGAGGAGGGAGGAGAGGAGGGAGGCCTCCTCCCTCCTCCCTCCTCCCTCCTCCCTCCCTCCCTCCTCCCTCCTCCCTCCCTCCTCCCTCCTCCCTCCTCCCTCCCTCCTCCCTCCTCCGTCCCTCCTCCCTCCTTCCTCCCTTCCTCCTCCTTGGAAAAATCGAGAATCTTCAGGGGGAAAGGGGGGGGGGATCATTAAAGTTGCTGGGGGGGACGATTAAAAAATCAGTTTCGGCCCCCAGATTCTAGTAGTACGCCCAACTCTTCACGGATAGGGCCCCCCGGGGGAGGGGGGGGGGGTATTTTTTTAATCATATGCTCACATTACAATGGAACACTTCGAAGTAATTGCAGCGACGAGCTGTACTGGTACGGCCTTGGAGGATGGCGCTTCAACTTCTTTTTCAGAAGGCGACTTCATCAGGAGGGAGATGACCAACTTTGTGGTTGCACTCCAGAGTTCGCGTGCTTCTACGTGAACACGAATCCCCCTGATGTCTGCGAAATTCTCCCTCCCACGTCCTCCTCCACTCGACGACGACGACGACGACCTCCCCCGACAGCGAGAGCCTGCAAGCGCGCTGGTCGCCAGATTCCCCCCCCGCAGGGGCCTGGCAGCAGCCCCGCCATCCGCGCCAGCTCGCCCTCCGCGTCCTCGGCGGACAAGATGAGGGGCTGCAGCTCACAGGGCCCGCCTGGGGGCTGCGAGGGGGGCAACGCGCGACGGCCACGGCGACGACGAGGACGATGCCGACGACAGCGGCGAGGACGACAGGCACGACGACGAAGATAGCAACGACGACTGCCGCGCCCGAGGGAGAGGAGGAGGAGGAGGAGGAGGAGGAGGAGGAGGAAGAGGAGGAAGAGGAGGCTGGAGGCGGGCGGGAGGAAGGGGAGGACGACGGAGGAGGGGGAAGAACAGGGAGGGACCCAGGGCGGGAGGGAGGAGGGCGGTGGGAGTCCGCCGACCCCCGCTTGCCCGGGGGTCAAAAGGCGTGTGAGACATGTGGCTGTCCCCCTCCCCCTGTCCCCCTTCCCCGGGGTCCAAAATTACAGGGGCCCAGGGACACACAAATAGATGCACACAAATAACAGGATTCCCCATATTTTTCTGCATATCTTTTGGATTTTCGTTTTTTCCCCCACTTCCCAGATTTTCCCCATTTTCCTCGGAATCGACGATTAATTGTGTCTGTGTGTTTTTTCCCCTCCTGAAAAATCCGACTAGAGGGGGGGGGACGAGTTCGTCCACCATCCCGGGGGCTCTCCGGAGCCCCCAAAAAGCCCCAAGGCAGTCCAAGAGGGCCCAGACCGAGCGCCCAAGCAGTCGAAGAGAGCGTATTGACGGCCCCGGGTAGCCCCACGACGATACAAGATGGCTTCAAGATGGCCCGTGAGGCCCTCCAGACAGCCCAAAAGCGCCTCCAGGGGATCGCAGAGAAGGCCCCAAAAGGCCAAAATCATCTCACTCCCTTGAAAAAGCGTGTATTTCCAGCACGCTCGCATTTTACGTTTCGACAGCAAACACGACGGCCCAAGTGGCCCCCAAGATCGTCCCAAGATGGCCCATGATGCCTCCAAGAAGGCCCCAAGACGGCCCAGGAGGGCGCAAAGACAGCCCCAGGGACACCCCAAGACGGCCCGTGGAGGGCCCCAAGAGGGCTCCAAGAAAGCCGAATACGGGGAAGACGAACTGACATGTCGAGCCTTTCCGACTGAGATGTCCCCTCGAGCCCCCCCGAGGCCCACGAGGGCCCTCTACGAGGCCCCAATAGGCCTCCAAGATGCCCCCAAGAAGCCCCCAAGAGGCCTCCACGAGGCTCCCCAAAGCCTCCCACATGCCACCAAGTATTCCAAGAGGCCCCAGCGAGGAATCCCAAGAGACCCTCAGATTCATCAAGGAAGCTCCTGACCCAAGATCTAACTTCCACGATTGTCTCAAAGACTCACTCCTTGTGGTGGTCGGCGGAATGGCGTAAGCCACCTGAACAAGGAAGAGAGGATGGAGGGAGGAGAGAGGTGAGGCCCCTAGCATGATGCGGGCGTCGACGATCGGCACGACCAGCATTGATACCCGCCTCAAGCCCCAGGACGCACTGTCGCGGATCGATCCGACCCAGAAAGAGAACATGTATGCAGTGCAGTTCTGAGGCGTGGGGCTCTGGTCGTGCTTTTGTTTGCAGCGTCGCCGGTCTTCCGCGGCGTCGAACTTCGGAGACGGGGCCCCCACTTCTGCCGTCACCTCTCCCCCCCATCCCTCCCCTGCCCTCCCTCACGAGCGGCGAAACTATCCGTAGCCGCGCCCTCGCGGTCTGGATTCTGGGGATTCCAGTCGGGTGTTACAAGAAGTGCCCCTGGTCAAGGCGTCCAAAGGATTTCCAAGGAGGTCCCCACGGCCTCTATAGCACACCTCACGAGGCCCAGAGGGCCCCCAGGGCTCCAGATTGAGCGAAAAAAAGGGTACCTTGGGCCAGGGGCGCCTCTACGTAACCCCCGATCTGGGGCGCGGTCCCGCGGATACGCGGTCGCACGGGTACGTTCCGCACGCGGCCTCCGCGAAATGACGCCTCGTGTCCGTAGAACCGCGGCCCAGGGTCCGGGCCTGCCACGCCTCGGATACGGATGCTCTTCGCCGACGGCTTCCTCCTCCTCTCCCCTCCACCTTCGCCCCAACCCTCCTCTTCCGCCCGCCCTCCCCCCTGTCCTTCCTCCCTCCGCCCTGCCCCCCCCCCTCTCCCCGCTCCTGAGGGGCAGCGACTGGGGGGGGATAGGCCACAAGGGGGGGAACAGATCGAGCTGGAATCAAATACATCGTCGATGTGAGGACCGATAGCCCACCCCGCCGGGGAAGGTGCGGATCCGCTATCGGGGGCCCTGTCGCCGATCTGAGGGCGATCGAGCCTGCCCCCCCCTGTCGCTGCCCCCGATCTCCCGGCCCCTCCCCCCCCTTGGCCTCCGCCCTGCTCCGGGCGCGAGCCGCAGCAGCGCAGGGGCTGCCAGGACTCGCCGCCTGCGAGGCGCCTGCGCGTCGTCTGCCCGTCTTCAGGACGGGGGGGGGTATGGGGAGCGTCCGCTGCCCGCCCCGGCCGCTACCCGCCCCGGTCGCCTCCCGCCCCGGCTGCTTCGCGAGAGCGGCCGCTACCCGCCCCGGCCGCCTCCCAAAGCAACGTCACGATTCGTGACCTCCGACCTGTATTTGGCTCTTCCTAGACGCTCCCAAACGGCGCTGGCGCGAAACGTGACGGTACCGCCTCGCCCCTTCCCCTTCCCCCCCGGTGACGGCTGTTATCGCTGGGGGGCAAGAGAACGCGCTCTCTGATGTAGGATGAGACGGGCGTCGGCGCGTCGTTTTCCATCTTCAGGAGGAGAGGGTCAGATAGGATAAGAATCGGCGGCGAGCTCGTGGGGGAACTAAGAAGGGGCGGGCCTTCTCAGAAGGCTCGGAAGTCCCCCCCGACCTTTTGAACGGCCTCTCAGCCTTTCCCGAAGGCATAAACAACTTCTCAAAAGGCGCGAGGGCTTCTGAGAGAAGGCGCGAGGGCTTCTGAGAAGAACCGCCGACTTGCCTTCTCCTTCTCGATTCCCCCCTCGCTCGCCGCCAAAAGAAGGGCGTCGGGGAGCCCGAGCATGTCCCCTCAACATAGACAGCATAGCTGAAGGGGCCCCAGGACACACAAATAAATACACACAAATAAAAGAATTCCCTATATTTTCACATATTTTCTAGGTTTTTGTCTTCCCCCCACTTCCCATACTTTCCCATATTTTCTGGGGAATCGACGATTAATTGTGTCTGTGTGGTTTTCCCTCCTGAATAGCGAGTTGCCTCTCCTCCTCCGTCCTTTGGCAGCCTCTCCCCCCCCCCCCCGGAAGAGTCGCGTCCCCGCGCCTCCCGCGCCCCAGGGCGGGAGGCTGGCCGAGGTTCTCCAGGAGGAGGGGAACGAGGCGAGCGGGAAGGAGGATGACGAGGGTGAGGGGAGAGCGCGAGAAGGAGGAAATGAGAAGGGGCGGGCCTTCTCAGAAGGCTAGGAAGTCCCCCGGCCTTCTGAAAAAAAATCGGAGCCTTCCCCGAAACCACAGAATACCTCTGAGAAGGCCGGAGCGCTTCTGAGAAGCCCCGCCGCCTTCTGAGAAGGCCTTCTCCTTCTCACTTCCCCTCCTCGCTCGGCGCCGAAGGAGGACGAGGATGAGGGGAGAGCGCGAGGAAGGAGGAAGGGAGAAATGAGAGGGGTAGGCTTCTGCTCGAAGCAGCAGCCCAGCAAGCAGCGTCAATGTTTGAGGTTTCTCGCTGAAGTGCGCCAGACTCTGCCACACGGTCAGCCGGTGGAGCCAAGAGCGAGAGCGGGAGGAGGCGGAAGAAAGAGATGGAAGAGAGGGAGTCGGGAAAGAGGAGCGAGCGCGAACGAGAGACCCCGACCTCGGACGTCATTCTTGTCAGCACGTGGAAGCGGAGACCCCCCGGAACCCCGCCCACGGCACTGGCTATACACTCCAGATTGCTCATAGCCCCTGGGCCCCGAAGATTGCGCCTGGAGGCCGAATCTGACAAAAAACGGCGGGACTGAAAGACCACGACGTGAGAGGATCGAGGACGCAGGAGGTCAGGATAGCCCAAGCTCATCTCGGAGAATCTCACCCGTCACCAAAACACACCGAATCTCGGAGTTCGGCAGGCAGATCGAAAAGCATCGAAATCGGCCGCCGGCCCGAGTCGAGGCCTGACACAGAGGATGGCACCTAGTCGAACTGAGTCGACATCGAGCCCGAAAGCATCGAACACAGGAAGTCAGGGTCGAGGTTCGCTAGGGCTCCTGGGAGGAGGCCTGTCCTGGGAGGCAGCGTGAAAGAGGGGAACGGGGGCCTGGCTCAGGCGCGAAGGATCGACCCGACAGGTCGGCGATGCATCGCCGAGGGGTCGGCGATCGGCCCCCGACAGCGGATCCGCAGGCTCCTGGGCCCCCTACCGGCGATCAGTGGGCGATCGGGGGTCGATGCATCCCCCCTGAGCCCATCCCGTCCAGTGATTGATCCTCCTCCTCCTCCTCCTCCTCCTCCTCCTCCTCCTCCCCCTCCTCCTCCTCCTCCTCCTCCTCCTCCCTCCTCCTCCTCCCCCTCCCCCTCCCCCTCCTCCCCCTGATCGTAGTCGTAGTCGATCCGACGCATCCTCGTCGTCTGCTTCTCGGGCCACAGCTCGGGTGTCTGGCGGCCGCTCGGGAGAACCCAACACACCCCAGGACGCCTCTCGGCGAGGCCAGGCTGCTGGAGAGCATCCCGAGGCTGGACAACTGCCGATGCTTACGACAACCTCGAAGCTCGATTCCGAGAAAGTCGCCCCCCCTCGAGCGCATCCACACTTAAAGACGCCCCTGACCTACAGTCGGGGTTGATTTGGGAGTACGCGCAACAGGACGGGACACTTCCGACGGCCACATCGCCATAGGAATGTAAGAGGCATGGGTCGCGAACACACAGGACACAAGCGGACCCCGGACTTGGCATGGTCGACCTACAAAGCAGCCTCGGCAGTACCCATTCAACGAATCCCGCCTTCTGCTCAGCATGAGAGAAAGTTGTAGGGGGGGCGGCACCAAGAGCCGCACCTCCAGGCCCGCCCGTCCGTCCAAAAAGGGGCACATGGAGACACACATACATCTGCTCCAAACCAAGGATTCCCCATCTCTTAAATATTGATCATGGTTGTTCCTCTTCCCAGCCATATTGATCATGGTTCTCGCATCTTCTTATGAAAGTCTGTGTTTGCTCGTGTTTGTGCAGATGTGTCCCTCCTGATCCAGGCCCGTCCCCCTTCCCTTCTTCTGGAGGTTGCCAGAAGTGATCATGGCCCAGGATACCCCTGGCTATTCGCGCCAACCTGGAGCCCCCCTCTTTCGGGTACTTACGTCGGTAGGTCGAGATGTCGTACGCAGATCGTAAGGAAAAATGACACTTCTGACGCTGGACTGACAAAAGCAGTTGGCTCTATCAACGTGGACGCTCTGCTGGGCGCGCTGCAGAAATTTGAGGTGCCCAACAACGCCCAACACATGATCCAGGCGATTTGCAGAGAGAAAGTTGCTTCCAGTCGCAGATGGCCCGCGAAGATCACGAAAGCGGGTAGGGGTGTAGTCAGGGGCTGCCTGACCTCTTCATGTCAATTAGTTTGCTAAGCTTGCCCACCTGCGTATGTCCGGCAGGCCACTGTAGAGACCACTCGCACCACAATCCACGAGTTCATCAGCTCTGTCATTCAGGAACAGTCCCGTATGAGACTCCACCTTCCGCCACACAAGGCAATGACCAAGCTCATCAACGAGTCGCCGTACTCGCAGGACTAGCCTGAAGTTCTGGCGTGCTCTTGAAAGTCTGCGTGCTATGTTGGCCGCATACTCCGAATCATACTCGATGCAAAATGAACACGAAAGCGGAACCAAATATCTGACATTCTCCAAGTTTGTCCACTATCTCCGTTTCTGTTTGTCATGATCATGCGGGTGATCATCGATTATGAAAAAGAAGAATTGTTACAAATCCACGCTGAGCTCATTGGCACCTGGTGACCTTGCGATCCTCTGGTACGCTGACGGCATGCTGTTGGTGGGGCGCCACAAGAGATCTACGCAGAAGGTTCTAGATGCGATAGCAGCAGCAGGCAAAGAAGTCGGCTGTATATATATATATATATACACTGGAACAGTGCAATGTTTGCCATCGAGGTGCGATGCCGTGCTGCGAGACACCAGTGGCAATATCATTGACCCTGCTGGACACGTTCAATATGTGGGGGCACATGCTTACAGCTCTGGGGGGGCTCAAGCAAGATCTCAGCCACCCACTGTCTTGGGGCAGCTAAGGACAAGTTCCGGAGACATACAAGGGCATAGAAACACACGTCGATTACATGTTCAAGAAAGATAGAGTTGCATGGAGCACTTAGCACGACCAATTGAATTCCGCGTGGCTGAACCAAACAGAGAGAGACGACCTGTCGGTGGCTTTCAAGCGCGGTGTCTCAGGAGCAGGTTGAACATCCAGCACCCTTACATGTTAATGATATCGAAGAGCATTGTATTGGAAGAAGCAGGCGCGCGACCTTACACGACAAGCTGCCAGGACATCAAGTGTTTCGATCTGCGCGTATCGGCCGCTGCATGGAGGACGACGTGCTGCGGAAATCAACTTTCCGACCAAAGAGCCCGAGACGGGTGACGGATTCTTTCCGACAGGCGCCCAGGCGCCCCAGGCATGAGTGGACAGAGTGTCTGCAAAATTCGATTATCTGAGCTTGGGCTCCGAATCTGCCCTGGTGGATTGCATGGCAGACGAACGAACGTGGCGTCAGCTTGCAACGAAATTGCGCTCGACGGCCGCGCTGCATACTGACCTTCTTGCCCTGTCAGTGCACGGGTTTTACTACGCTCGCGCCGAATGGCGCACGGCTTCTCGCTCGCTCGTGGCAACGTGATGGTTGCTCCAGTGGCCGTGGGGGCCCCCCTGAAAATCTTTGGGGCGCCTTGGGCCAGGGGCACACCGACGTGGAGGGGAAATATCGACCTGGCCTCGGCGATGCATCGCCGATAGATCCGCGAGGAGGCCCCCGATAGCACATCGGCGATTGCTCGCGGGCGGGGTGGACGACCGCGCTCACGTCGGCGACCACTGGGAGTCGATGCGTCCCCTCCTGAGCCTTCGGCGGCAACTCATACTCATCTGAGCCTCCCATGCCATCTTCTTGGACGCCCGAAATGGGTACAGTCGGGGCGTTGACCTAAGGAACCCAAAGTAAGGAGCGAGGCCCCTTTTTTCCATAAATTAAACTTCGATTCCCTATCGAAAACATAAGGGAAACCTGAGGCAAGCTGTGAAACACTTGAGGAACGCGGAGCCCCTCCCCAACGAAAAGAGTTCCTTCTTCAGGGCCCCGACTGTACTCATCTGAGCCTCCCATGCCATCTTTTTGGACGCCCGAAACGGATGCGGAAACAATGGGTACAATGCCCAACAACAAATGTTTACCCACACCAGCAGCGGCCGCTGTTGGGCAGGCGGCCTCCTGTCTCTAATACACACAGGCCGCGGCGGCGCGGACAGCGAGTCCTGTTCAAGATGAACAGGACCTGCTGGTGGGCATTGTACCCAGTCTTTCCGTACCGATTCCGCTCGTGCCGAATAATGCTGGCTCTGACGTTTCGACGCACATCGACGCTAAATCCACGCTTGTCGACGCTAAACCGGCGCTCTCTCGTCGACCACTAGAAGCTCTCGCGCGCGAATGCACTCCAAAGACGGAACTCCGAGGACACACAAGGCCCCCATGATTGAAGGGGCCCAGGGACACACAAATAAATACAAACAAATAACAAGATTCCACATAGTTTCCCATATTTTCTGGGCGTTCGTCTGTCCCCCCACTTCTTGTGTTTTCCCACATTTTCCTGGGAGTCGACGATTACTTGTCTGTGTGTTTCTTTCCCTCTTGAATGATTTCCTACGGAATGAGCCAGTCCCCCCCCCCCACGTTTAACTCGGGCCTGTCCCCCTACAGGAGGATTCTGGACAAAAAATAAAAGATAATCTAAAAATCGTCCCCAGACTATTGTTTGACTATTTTGCAATATCCGTCCTGTAGAGGGGAACGCCCGACTTAACTCTAAAGGCGGAATTTCAAGGACACACGAGAACCCAACCCCATGATTTCCTTCTGCATGAGCCAGTCCCCCCCCCCTGCGTAACGCTGCCCCCTCGGGCGTTGGCAGAACTGGGTTTAGTGGACGCCCCCCCGCACCGTTCCACTAACCGAACCTGCCGTCACCCGAAAAACACCTGCTACGGCAGACATGGCTTAGTCATTCTGGCCAATGCAGGGGCTCCGGGGCCCTACCGGGTCCCCTTACCTGGGGTCCTGGCTACTATACCCGACCCGCCCCCCATTGAGAAGCTCGGCGGGGCGCCCGCGCCCGGCCGACGCCAGCAGCCGGCGCTGCTGGGGGCCGGCTCTTTTTGCGGGCGGAGGGCGCAGCGGGCACGCGGTGTCCTCCACTGACGCTACGCTACGCAACATGTACTGGGACAACATCAGCGCCGTCAGCCACCTCCTCCTCCTCCTCCTCCTCCTCCTCCTCCGCCTCCTGCTCTCTGCTCCTCCTCCTCCTCGTCCTCCTCGTCCTCCTCCTCCTCCTCCTCCTCCTCCTCCTCCTCCTCCTCCGCCTCCGCCTCCTCCTCCTCCCCTCCTCCCCCTTCTGGCATCGATGTCGACTCCTCCTCCTCCCTGATCCTCCTCCTCCTCCTCCCCCTCCTCCTGGTCCTGGTCCTGGTCCTGGTCCTGCTCTCCTCCCCCCCTCCTCCCCCCTCTTCCTCCCCCTCCTCCTCCTCCTCCTCCTCCTCCTCCTCCTCTCATCCTCATCCTGCTCCTCCTCCCCCTCCTCCTCCCCCTCCCCTCCTCGTCCTCCTCCTCCTCCCTCCTCCTCCTCCTCCTCCTCCTCCTCCTCCTCCTTCCTCCTCCTCCTCCCCTGCTTTGCTCCAGTGAGGCGGCCACGACTTGGGGGGCAGGAGCCCGACGGCGCGCCCTCTGGAGGGACGACAAGGGGGTGGCGGGCCCTCTCAGAAGGCTCTCGGGAGGTATCTCCGGCCTGCTGAAGAGGCTCTCCGCGAGCCTCCTCCGAGGACCGCCACTAGCATAGGGAGGAGGAGGAGGAGGAGGAGGAGGAGGAGGAGGAGGGAGGAGGAGGAGGAGGAGGAGGACGAGGAGGAGGAGGAGGAGGAGGCGGGGGAGAAGGAAATGAGGAAGGGAGGAGGAAGCGAGGAGGATGAGAAGGAGCAGGAGTAGGAGAAAGAAGAACTCCCCATCCTCACTTCTCACGGGCGCTTGCCATGAAGGAAACAGTTCCTGAGTGGAACCGGTCCTGAGATCTTTCGCCGTTTGCGGGCTCGAAGGGCCCTCCACGGGCCCTGGGAGTGCCAGAAAACGGCTCCCGATGAAGAGCTGCTCCTGGGGGAAGGCCCCAAGGTCCAAGGCCCGCTTCCGCCAGGACTCGCCTCCCCCATGCTGAGAGGACACGGACGGCCTCTCAGAGGGCAGGAGGGCTTCCGAGAAGCCCCGCCGCCGTCTGGGGAAGCCTGCGCCCTGCCCCCCCCCCCCCCACACACACACACACACACACACACACACACACACACACACACACACACACACACACACACACACACACACACACACACACACACACACACACACACACACACACACACACACACACACATACACTCACACTTCCCCCCTCGCCGCGCCGCCGAGGAACACGACCGTGATGCGATGTTCGCCACCTCCGCCGCGCGCAGTGTAGTGCACCTCATATTCTTCGGGGCAGGATCGCCAGCGTGAGACGTCCAACATCATAGTAAATACACTATGTTTCGGGCGGAGACAGCCCAAATGGGGTCCGAGTGGGCGGAGTCGGAGGATCGCGCCACATCGCCGACGACTCGGCGATCCGGCTCGATTTGGAACACGGCTTTGAAGAGGGGGCGACCAAATGATTCGCGGCCCTGGCAATGAAATCCACACGCACAAGCACACGCACACACTCACACACACGCACACAAACACACACACACACCACACACACACACACCACACACACGCACACACACACACACACACACACACACGCACGCACGCACGCACGCACGCACGCACGCAGACACACACACACACACACACACACACACACACACACGCCACACACACACACCACACACACACACCACACACACACACACACACCACACACACACAACACAAACACACGCACACAACACACACACACACGCGGCCACATACGGCCGTCGCGCTACAATATGGTGGGACACTCAACAAGTCACGAAAGCGCTTTTCAAGCCACGGCGAGCCTCGGTCACGCATAGGTTCCCGACCCAAATCTCAGGAACGGCCGAAACCAGAGCCCCTCCTGAGCCGAAAGTTGTCCTGGTTCCAGCTTCTGGACTGCAGTCCTCACCCCCCCGCTGTCGGGGGGGCACACAGGTGGGGTAGGGGCAAAGGTGGGGTTGGACGGAAGATCGCTGAGGACGGCCCCTGGAGGCAGGAAACACGCTGGTCAGGAGCATCCGCCTGCGCCCGCTCCCCAGCCCCACCTCGGGATAACCCTCCCTCGACGAACCCCCGACCCTGGCCACCGCCGATCACAGGTGACCTGTGGATCTCCGGGGGGGAGGCCGATGACTACCTACTAGACCACCCCAACCCAACCCGAAGACCCGAACTTCGGGTCGGGGGGGGAGGGGTACGGCTTCCATGTATGTTTTCTCAAATGTGCCCCGACTCCCCCCCACTGGAAATGGAGGGCAAATCGAAGCCTTCGGGTTGGGTTGTGAGTATCTTTTAACTGATGCCCATCCCCAGCGGCGTGGCCTGGGCCCCGCCGGCCGAGTTACCCCCCTAGAATGGGGATGTAGGCCGTTCCCTTCGGGTTTCAAGGGGTACATCCCCAACTGGGGTGGTAACTTGGTGGGGGTCTCGAAGGGGAGGGATGGGGATGGGGATGGGGGTCGTTGAAACGATACCGAGGTTGGGGTGGCTTGGTGGGGGGTGGAGGTCGGGACCCCTGGGCGGCCCCAAAGCGCGCCACCGCAGCCTGCCCCAGCCGCTGCTGGAGCCGCTCCAGCCGCTCAAGGCCTTCGCCGGCCGCCTCCTCCGGCAGGGCAGGGCCGCTCGGAGAGGAGGAGCCGGGGCCACGCTGTGTCAGAATCTCTGTCGGGGGCGTACTGGGGATCACCAAGTCCTCCTCCTCCTCCTCAAATTCCTCCTCCTCCTCCTCCTCCTCTTCTCCTCCGCATCCTCCAACTCCTCCTCCTCCTCCTCCTCCTCCTCAAATTCGTCCTCCTCCTCCTCCTCCTCTTCTCCTCCGCATCCTCCTCCTCCTCAAATTCCTCCTCCTCCTCCATCCCCTTCCTTATGAATCACTCCTCCCTGCCGCACCCGCGAGCGGATCGGTAAGGCGGGCCAGGCGGCACACCGGAGACCGTCTCACCGCCCATGTTCCTGAAGCTTCACGGTTGCAATACCTTCATGGATGGAGGGCGGATTGTTGTCAGAATGTGGCTCTCGTCCTGGCGCCGGGCACATCCGTCTTAAAAGTCGGCAGCGCTTTCAAGAATGGAGGGAGGCACGTTTTCCGAATCTGACTCGCGCCGTAGCGACGCGCACATTCGTCTTCAAAGCTTGCTACGCTTTCGAGAATGGAGGGCGGTTCATTTTGCAAATGTGGTTATCGCCGCAGCGTTGCGCACATCCGCCTGACCAAATTATGCGCCTGGTAAGTTCCAGGACGGGTGTTCTTGCGCGATTCAGGATGCTCAGGACGCAACAGTCACGTTGGCGCGCGGTGTTGAAGTCCCAGAAAAGGTATGATTGCAAGATGTAAGAGAGAGGCGTGTCAGGACGCAGCACTTACGTTGATTCGCGTCGCTAGTCCAAGGAATGGTACTTGGCACGGTCGAAGATTCTCAGACAAGTTTTTGTGGGGACCATTGAGAACGAAACCAGGAGGGAAGGTGTAATGCGACATCGTTGAACCGACTAGGGAGTATACTGAAACTCGTCCTCCGCATCCTCCTTCTGCTCCTCCTACCCTGCTCCTCCTGGTTGGCAGCCCGCACATGTATGTCGTCGTCCTCCTCCTCCTCCTCGTTTTGTATCGGTCTCGTCAAAGTCCATTCTGACGTCCTCGTCCTCGGCACCGAGACGAGGCGTTGCCCAACGTGGGGAAAGACTGGTGATGTCCCCATGGGCCCACATTGGCCGATGAGGCGGAGGCGAGGCGTCCCTTCCCGTCCACCTCCCGGCCAAACCTGCTAGCGTGGATGCTCCGCCCTCGAACCTGTCGAAGCTCGCCCTCGAACCGTGACCCTGGATAACAGGGGCTCTCAACCACCGATCCCCCAGCGCCCCCGCGACTCTGCCGCCCTGGTGCCGTCCGAGCGCGGATCGCCTGCTCATCTTCTCGTCGTCGTCGTCCTCCTCCTCCTCCGCCTCCTCCTCGTCGTCCTCGTTGTGGTCCCGCTCCTCCACTTCCTCCTTCTCCTCATCCTCCTCCTGCCGGTCATCTCCAATCCTCTCCTTCTCGTCCCTCCCCCCAACCACCGCAGGGTGGAACAAGATCGATCCCATCTCCGCTGCGCCGCGGTGACGGGGCTCCAGGCTGTGGACCGCCCGGGCCCGGGCGGCTGAGCGGGTGCTGCTGCCCAATCAGCGTCGTCCGCCCTCCTCCCTCCATACCCATTGTGCTCCTCCTCCTGCTCCTCCTTCTCCTCCCCGGCATCCTCCCTCTGCACCTCATCCTCTCTCCTAACCTGCTCCTCCACCTCCACATGCAACCTCGGCCGTCCTACATCAAACCTCCTCCAAACCCCCTCCTCATTCCTGAACCTCCTCTTCATTTCCAAGTGCAAGTCCTCGTTGTTCTCGGTCATCAGCTTCCTCCTCCTCTACTGATCCTGCTCATCCTCCCTCCACCGCCTTCTTATCCTATAACATCCTCCTCCCTGCATGCTCATCCGATCTGACTCCACACACGCACGCGCACGAACGCACACACACACACACACAAACACACACACACACAAACACAAACACGCACGCACAAAAAAACACATACACACACCGAGCTGGACATCAAGGGGGCTCGTGATGTTCGTCGGCCGTCCTTGTGGCTGTCCCCAAGCGCGCTGCGAACAGCGCGCAACTCCACGTCCCGCAGCCGCGCCGCATCCACCTCAGGCAGAGGACGGTTCCTCCTCCTCCTCCTGCTCTGCCTCCTCTTCCATCCTCCTCCTCCTCATCATCATCGTCGCCACTATCAGCATCGTCATCATCATCGTCATCATCACCAGCAGCAACTGCATCAACAGCAACCGCATCGGCGTCATCACCATCATCGAGCTTCTCAACTTTAATGTCCAGACAGTCTGGACAGTGAAAGAGGGGGTCTGCAACAGGGGGTCTTCAATGGGGGCTGAATGGCCCATGTATGCTCAATGTATCGCTCATGTATGTGATCGGGTACGATTGGCATCCAATGCTGGCGGTCATTGATGGCCAGTCATTCGTGCCCGCGCGTTGCCCGCGCGGGCACACGCGCCGTCCATCCATTATCGTTCATGCGTGCGGGCGTTCTTGCATATTGCGTGTGGGTCGGCGAAGTGGAGTGCAAGTGTGTCTTGATTGTGCGGTTGATGATCGCGTATGTTCCCAAACGATGACTTCTCGACCCCCAAGACAGATTTGGAATGGGCCCCGCGATTCTCCCAAAATGTGAATTCACATTTTCCTTTTTCCCAAAATGTGAATTCACATTTTCCTTTTTCCCAAAATGTGAATTCACATTCTGGCCCCTTCATAAAGAATCCTACACAAAATTCCAAAATGTGAATTCACATTTTCCTTTTTCCCAAAATGTGAATTCACATTTTCCTTTTTCCCAAAATGTGAATTCACATTTTGCTTTTCCCCACAATGTGAATTCACATTTTGCCCTGGCCTTCAAGATCCCCAAAACTGAGGCGCAGCGTTCCGCATGTCAGATTGGCTGGGCAGCTTTCGACACTCACCTGACCGCTTTCGTGTGTTCCAGCCTTTTCTTTTTGCGCCCTTAGCGCACGTTGCCTTCGTCGCCTTTCCCGAGCCCCCCGCCCCCTTGCTTCCTTTCCCCTCGAGTCTCGCGCGCGGGCGCAGGCGGGGGGCTTCAATTAGTTCCCCCGCCGAGCACGGCAATCGAGGATGCATCGCCCATTCATGGCCTTAAAAAACATCATTGCCGGGACCCTGCGCCCGACCCCCACTTTCACCCTCGAGTCAGACTCATCACCATAGTCATACCCATCACCATAAGCAAGACCATCATCATCATCATCATCATCATCATCATCATCATCATCATCATCATCATCATCATCATCATCACCATCATCATCATCATCATCATCATCATCATCATCATCATCATCACCATCACCATCACTATCATCATCATCATCATCATCATCATCATCATCATCATCATCATCATCACCATCACCATCACCATCACCATCACCATCACCATCATCATCATCATCATCATCATCATCATCATCATCATCATCATCATCATCATCCTCATCACCATGGACCTCGTTCTCGTCTTCCGCCTCTTCCCCCCCTTCTCCTCCTCGTCCCACCCTCCCTTATCATTCACGTCTCTATCATCCCTGCTTGCGTGTGCTTCTTCTTCCTCCTCCTCCCCGTCCTCACCCTGCCCGTTTGCAGGAGGACGCCGAGTATCGACCCACGCCAACACCGGCCAGCTGGTCGGCACACGCGCACGCATGGCCTGGCCAGGGAGGCGCGCACACCGAGCCTGGGCCCGGGCTCGCCATGTCCGGGAGAAGAGCACGTGCGACAGTGTGGGCCCTTGCGTGTGCCGCCGCGCGGACAAATTCCACCTCGACGTCGGCTCCGGCGCGGATCCAAACGATCCGCATGGACCTCCGGAAGTGTAAATGCATGCCGATGCTGTGGTAGAGAAGCAGCAGCACTAGCAGCAAAAGGATCAGAGGTCGCCCGAGAGGAGAAGGACAGGAGAAATGAGCGACGAGGCGCCGCCTTGATGGTCCATCGCTGCCCCTGCGGCGCCCTCTCTCCCCCCTCTTCCTCCTCCTCCTCCTCCTCCTCCTCCTCTTCCTCCTCCTCCTCTTCCTCCTCCTCGAGATCGGAATCGGCGCATGGATACTCCTAACCATTTGTTTCTCGGGCTGAAGCGAACCTCTGCGGGCCTCTTTGATGTCTAAAAGTCTCGTGGTGATACCTTTATTCGCTTCGCGCCGCGCGTGCGCGATCGGCCTCATTGCAGAATGGCCCAAGTCTTGCCTTGACATGTCCTGGCGCGCGTTCCGACGGGATGTCGAGGCAAATCCTGCCATGGCGGCGGGGCGGTCCCAGCAAGCACGGTCGACGCGTTAAGTTTCAATGGTTCTGTCCTCCCTCCTCCCTGAGATGGAGGCTCTCTCAAACGCTATGCCTGCAAAATCAGGTGGCACCGTCGCACTTGTCGGGCGCTGGCCTGATCCAGTCAAGGTCTCGGAAAGGAGAGAGTGCGAGCACGTGCACAAAACAGGAGCGAACATTGAGCGAACGCCCCGCTCGGCTGACTGTGTCTGATGCTGCCCTCCCTCGGCACCATACTCGCATTTGCCTGAGATGAACTGCGTGCATTGGGGATTCAGACTTGCTTCCAAAAGAACTGGCGCCCAAGTCCCCTGTGGACTAATCACCCGCCCTGCTGCCAATTGAACGCGTGGACCTTTCTGACTCGGCTGTGTTGCACATGCCCTGCGAAGGCGATCTTGTCGTGGCCGCTGGCATAAGACGGCACGTGATTGCGAATGAAACCCGTGTTCGGGGTACCGCTGTGGGTGACGACTGATCTGCATACGCGACGCTAGCCTGCGCCTTCACGCTCGTGTCGACCAGTTCGTGGGTTTTCTGCGCACATGCCTCAAATCCCAACTAGGATGTCACTGGCTCTGGAAGCGAATCATGGAATCGCGGAGGTGGCGGCCGAGGTCTGCCTCTTTCCGGCAACGCCGAGGTATTGGCGAGGCGGTGGAAAAGATACAGAAGCGAAGACGTGGCTAGGGTGTGCAGGCGTGTATGGTACGTACAGAAGCTTGCGCATGGGCTTCACGCAGTCAAGAAGCTGAAAGTCAACGGTAAGCTGAAATGCAAGAAAGGGTAGGCCTCCCATCCCAGAGACAGGCGTGTCCCATTTGATATCACGATGGTAGCTGCTGAGCCGCGCGTGGACGGCATCTTTGACAGCGCTGGTTGAGATCAAGAGACTGTCGTCGACAAATCTGTTCCAGAAATGACCTCCTCGGGATGCGAATTGCATCGCAATCTGAATCATGAAGATAAATGTTTGCAATCATCACTCCTGCCGAAAAAACGGTAGAAATCCCATTCCGCACCCAATACAACAGATCCGAATACTGTACAACCATGTTGAACAAGACGAGCCGGAAGAGCAGGCAGCCCAGCGTGACGCCTTCTTCTCTGTTTTTGGACCTCCAATAGTTCACCAAGTGCTAACTGACACGTTGGTACGCATCGTCGGGGGGTACAAATTGCAAACGTCCACGGAGTGAATCTGGAGCGCCGCATCGTCGATGACGCTCAGCGCTGCGAACCTGTCCTGCAACTGCTCGGTGTGCTGAACAACGTGCAAACACTGTTTCTGAACAGGTCATAGGATTTCGCATAGGACGTCTGAAGCCCCGTGGCTCCAACACCCTGTGAGATTCATGATTGGTCTGGTTTTGGCTGGCCATTTATGGATCTCCGGTCGAAGGCGGAACTTGCCACGACTAGTATTCCGCATGACGCCCGCAAGAGGAGCGGCGACGTTCTTCAAGTCGACTCTGGCGGAAACGGTTGCGAACATGTGGTCGATAGGAAGTTGGAGAAGAACGTGAGCATCTGACCACGTCTTGGAAAAATGCCCGCGTAATAGACGTGACCGCTTCTCCCAAGAGCCTGAGACGTTCCCCGTGCACCCAACTGGCGTCGGACAGTCCGTCGTTCAGGTTCTTGTCGACATCTAGAACTTTGACGCGATCTGGGTTCTTCCGGAGCCAAGAAGTCGCCTTGGAGCCCTAGAAAGACCAATTCCTCCTCTTGGGTAGCGGTCTGTAATCAGCCAGAGCCCACCGAGTTATGCAGAGTTCTCGGCCCAAGGCTTCACTGAACTTAGGTGTGAAACTGCTGCGCTGCTTGAGGCGCTGAAAAACAGAATCACGATTGTCTTCACGATCTTTGTAGCAATCGTAATCAGAAAGAGCACATGTACGCGAGAGACGGAGAAGATTGGGTAGTGTGTCTTTGACATGTGAGCAACGCTGGTCTGGAATGAACTTGGACCCTGAGGTGAGAGCACTGTATACGTAGTCTGGCATGTCCTCGGCAACTTCCCTGTCAAGGGAAACGTGGATCCTCTGGGACTGCACTCGGTGAAACAAAGAACGCACTCTCAATCAAACTATGTATACAATCGTGTACTTCTGCATGTTGATGTTGTTGGCGCGGGCGTCGGCGGGCCGGGATACTTCCCTGGGGTAGCGCGCGGGCGTGCCGCTCTGAGGGGCCTTCGAAGAGGGCCTCGACGATGGAGAAGTACGGCGGCCTGTAGAAGAAGCTGCGCTGCTCCTGCCCTGTGGATGCCAGCTTTTGACGCTGGCTGAACCCGTGGATCCTCTGGAAGCCTTGGAACTTGCGCTCGAGGTTCGCAAAGTTGGCCGGTAAGGCCGCAACCTGTCCACGACTTGTATGCCGAAATCCTCTATTACCCCTGGTTGGCCAGCAAGAAGATGTTCAAAAATGCCTCCTTTGAGCATTTGAATTTGCGATTACTTCCGGGCCGCCCCTTGGCCTGTCGCCGAAGCCGCTGGCTGCAGGGGCCGTTTCAGGTCCCTTTCGAGAGCCGCGAGCGCCGAGAGCGTCTGGCTGTCCAGCTCGGAGGTCTTCCTGTTCGCCGCTGCTAGAGCGAGCTCCCTCTTGCGATCGTTGCCCTCCGGTTTCTGCATTCTGGATTTCGCCTCCGGAACCTCGGATCCGAGGGAGGCCTCCGCATAGGCGGTCGACGCATGAAGTTTCAATGTTTCTGTCCTCCCTCCTCCTCTCCCTGCTCCTCCTGCTCATGCTCCGCCTGCTCCTCCTGCTCCTCCTCCTCGTCTCTACCCCTCCTGCTCCTCCTGCTCCTCTCCCTGCTTCTCCTGCTCCTCTCGTCTCTACGCCTCCTCCTCCTCCCTACTCCTCCTGCTCCTCCTGCTCCTCTCCTCCTCTTCTCTACGCCTCCCTCCCTACGCCGCCTTCCTCCATCCTCTAGCATCCCTCATCCTCGCTCTTCCCTTCTCCTCTCATCCACTCCTCCTGATCCTCCGATTCCTGCCTCGAATCTTACCCTCCCCCTTCTTACAATCCTCATGAGATTACTCTCCTTCTTCCTCCACCTGCTTCTCCTCCGCCTCCTCCTCCTCCTCCTCCTCCTCCTCCTCCTCCTCCTACCCCTGATCCTCCTCCGTGGCTGTCGTTATGCCATCTCCCTCCTCTCCATCCTGCCTCTCGCAGGCAGGACGGGGAGGAGAGTCGGGCGCACGCTGGTATGGGTAAGGGACCTGTGGATCTGGCGCATGGGCGCAAGATCCGGGAAAGTCCCTCCCACCCCGAGACATGAGGCCGATGCCGCCTGATCCAACGACGTAGCGAGCCCATCACGTATGGAAACGGGCCCCGTCGCTCGTCCACGCGCCTTGACCGTCTGGGTCGTGGGCGGCGCGCTGGCGCGGCGCCGCACACAGCGGCCCCCGGTGAGAGCGGTGAGGAGGCAGGAGGGGCCGTTGGAGGAAGGAGGGAGGAGTGAGGAGGGTGGAGTGATGAGGAAAGAGAATAGGAGGAGGAGGAGGAGGAGGAGGAGGAGGAGGAGGAGGAGGAGGAGGAGGAGGAGGAGGAGGAGGAGGAGGGGGGGGGGAGGAGGAGGAGGAGGAGGAGGAGGAGGAGGAGGAGGAGGAGGAGGAGGAGGAGGAGGAGGAGTGAGGAGGAGGAGGAGGAGGAGGAGGAGGGAGGAGGAGGAGGAGGAGGAGAGGAGGAGGAGGAGGAGGAGGGAGGAGAGGAGGAGGAGGAGGAGGAGGAGGAGGAGGAGGAGGAGGGGAGGAGGAGGAGGAGAGGAGGAGGAGGAGGAGGAGGAGGAGGAGGAGGAGGAGGAGGAGGAGGAGGAGGAGGAGGAGGAGGAGGAGGAGTGAGGGAAGAGGAGGAGAGGAGGAGGGGAGGAGGAGGGGAGGAAGATGAGGAGGAGTGAGGAGGGGGGGGAGGAGGAGGATGGGAGGAGGAGGAAGAGGAGGAGGAGATGTTTGCATGTCATCGCCTGTGGAGGGAAGGCGGACCGTGGGAGCGTTACTGACTCGGCCCGCCTCCCCCGGGCTCCCTCGTGCTCTGCCAGCCCCGCGCCGCCTGCTCCTCCAGTGGCCTGCGCCACAGGTCCAGGGCGCCCTCGAGAGCCTGTCGGCCAGACGATCAGGAGAGCAGCAGCAGGTGGAGCAGGAGCAGAAGCATTCTGGGCAGGAGCATCAGGAGAATCAGGAGGAGGAGGAGGAGGAGGAGGAGGAGGAGAGGAGGAGGAGGAGGAGGAGGAGGAGGAGGAGAAGGAGGAGGAGGAGGAGGAGGGGGAGTTAGGAGGAGGAGGAGGAGGAGGAGGAGGAGGAGAGAGGAGAGGGAGCGAGGAGGACTAGGAGGAGGAGGAGGAGGAGGTAGCCGTCGAGTGCTCCTCCTTTCCTCTCTTCTTCACCTCACCGTTGTCCATCTTGCCCCCTATTTCTTCCCTCCTCTCGGGACCTCCCCGACCCTCAGGGCAGGTTGGGCCCCGTAAGCACGTCAGACAGGCCAGGCCAGCCCCCATTATATCGCATACTTGCACGCGCCTACTCCTAGCAGTGGACACTCAGATACTACGGGCCAGCATGGCAGGCCAGCCTCACCAAGACAGTGCCTTCGTTTGTTGGTACTTTCGGCTCGTGCTCGACCCGAAGAGAAAGCATACAGAAGGCACGAGGTTCCAGAGGGACCAAGGTGGTTTGGGGTGAACCGAAAAAAAACTGGGATGCGGCCCAAGAACTGTCATCGCTTGCACTTGATTATGCATGCTACCTTTGGCTGCAAGCCCGTATCTACAATCGAGGCGTGGATACATTTCAACGTCAGACGCTGCGTGCCTGGACAAACAAACGAAGGTGGGTGGTAGTATATGCGTATGGTATGTACTGTCGGCGGGGGTAAGTATAAAGCTCCGCTTAGCTACTGTTGCACGGTTAGTTCGTTCCTCCTTCCGCTCGTATGCACTCCACACGCTTTGCACAACGTCAAAAGGAGGAGGAGGCAAGGAGGAGAAGGAAGAGCACGGAGGAGGACGAGGGGAGGGCGCGCGAGGTGAATAGAGGGGACGAGAATGCGAGAGGGTGACAGAGAGAGAGAGAGCATGAGACAGAGAGAGGAGGTATAGCGAGGCAGATAGGCACAGAGCGAGAGAGAGAGAGAGACGAGACAGAGAGACAGAGAGAGAGGGAGAGAATGAAGGAGTGAATGAAAAAAAGAGGACGGCGCCGAGCACGACGATGAGGAAGACCACATCATTCCAACGTCATCACAGATGCTCCAACCCACTGACCCGTCTCAGGTCCTCTTCTTTTTAGCTCCGTAGGCGTATTCTGTATAGCCCAAGCAGACGCCCGCTGCAAACATGAAGGACCCATAGGTCCGCCGCAGGTTCAGATACTGGGCGGGCTGGAACGTCAATGCCAAGATGACCCCACCAGAGGTCTTCAGAAATCTCGGGACGGCTTTTCAGTAGGCATCACCGGCAATATTGAGATTCGAACGAGTATGGTGGCAAACTCACTGACACTGAAGAGTGGAGATCGTTCTCGACCCATCTAGCTGGCAGAAACTTTGAGACGCTGCGTAGCGCCAGAACGCAAACACGATTTTGAGCATGGACCGCCCTCCGTAGATTTGGCTGTTCGGGAACGGACAACATATTCAGACGTGCCAAGTGAAAAATATGATTTCAAAGGCTGTGTACTTACATCCTGGGGGACACAACTCGGACGTCGAATTTAGGAGAAAAAAACCGATCCTGAATCCGTGTGAATGTCGGTGGATGACTTCAAGCGAGATCTCGGCGTTGAAAAAGAACGCCATCCTTCCGCCTAACTGCTAGAAATGACAAACTGGCCTTGTGAAACATATGCCCAACTAAACTCAAGTTTGAAAACCGCACATACACATGTTCTACCATCCGCAGAGCGCCCTGTGGTAGAGGAGTGTGAGAGGGGGGGGGGGGAACACGCGACTCAACTGCAGCTGTATGGAAAAGCGCGTTGTGGTGTCAACCGAACAGGGAGGAGGGGGGGCGGGGGGGCAAATTCGGCCGCCTCCTTCCCACTAGGCGTGAGGCGAAAAGTCCACCTCGAGGGCGGTACCCCTCCCTCTGGTTCTAGCCCGCGGACACGGCCGGCCCCTTCCCCCTCCCTCATAACCTCATCCCGGCACTCGCCTGAGCGCTCTCTCCCTAAACATCGCCATCATCATCATCACCATCACCAGGGCCCTCGTCATCGTCGTCGTCATCGCCTTGAACGTCGTCGTCGTCGTCACCCCCACACATCCAACGTCTCGATTTTTTCGAGACGCGGGCCCCCGACCTCCCGACCACTTCCCCGGGACCGGTTTTTCATCCCGAGTCCTTTTTTGACGGTCCCGAGGCCTGGCGAGGGCCCCGAGAGGCCAAAAGCAAAAAACCTCCGCCTCGATTTTTTCGAGACGCCCGACGTGTGGGTCAGCCCCATCGTCGTGCCCATCCTGCCTCCACCTTCTCCGGCCCGCCAGTTTGGACGCCCGAGATGGGTATGGAAAACATGGGCACAATGCCTAACAACGAATGTTGTCCCAAAGCAACAGCGGCCGCTGCTGGGCAGGCGGCCTTCTGTCTCGAATGGACACAGGCCGCGGCGGCGTGGACAGAGAGTCCTGTTCAAAATGAGCAGGAACTACTGTTAGGTCGGGCCTGTCCCCCTACAGGGGGATTTGGGGCGGAGAAGTAAAAACACTCGAAACAGACTCCCAAAATGACCAAAAATAGTCAAAAAAATCGTCACCGGACTATCTCTTGAAAATTCCCCCTGTAGAGGGACAGGCCCGACTTGAAAAACTACTGCTGGGCTTTGCACCCCTTCCTTCCGTACCCCTTCCGTTCGTGCCGAGCCAGGCGCGGAGGGCCCGGCCCTCCCCGGCCCAGGGGGGGGAGGGGGCGCCTGCCGGCGCAGCCGCTCGTGCTGCGGCTGCAGCGTGCGGGGGCCGAGGCAGCCCGGGTCGGAGCCTCGGAGCGAACGACGACGACGACGCAAACGACGACGCAAACGACGACGAAGAGACGACGACGACGACGACGACGACGACGACGACGACGACGACGACGACGACGACAAAGACGACAAAGACGACGGCGACGGCGACGACGACGACGGCGACGACGACGCCGGCGGCGGCGGCGGCGACGGCGATGACGACCGCGACAACCTGCTCCACCTCCTTACTCTCCCTGTTGGGGAGGAGGGCGACAGGAAGGGGGGTCGAAGAGAAGGAGTTGGAGAGGGAGAGAGAGGGAGAGACAACCACCAATGTATGGAAACATGCTAATCAACCAAAATACGTAACGGGAGAAGCGAGAAGAGAGAATCTGTATCACATGTATGAGAGAGGGGGAGGGACATAGAGAGAGAGGAGAAGGGATAGAGCGAGCAGCGCAAGCATGAACGGGACGAGGGACGAGGGGAAGGATCGGGAGGAGACTGTCCAGGCAGTTGGACGAGGAGGACGAGAATAACGCACGACCAGTCAGCATCGATTCGGGAAACCAGATCAGATCATGAATCGCATCGGGCCGCAACGGCATATGATCTTATCGATTCGGACTGGCCGCGCCAGAATGCACAGCAGCGCAATGCATGCATCGGGCCGCATCGGACAGTCGAAACATCGAAATCGGATCGGATCGGGCCTGCCAGAATCGATCTCGAATCGCATCGGTCGGATCCATATAGAATCCTGGGACGGGACGACTACACCGCGGCGAAGAGATGGAGGACGCCATGTCTTCTTCACGTGGAACCCTCGGATCCAGAACATTTGAAAACGCCTGCCGCCGTGATTCTGTTCACGACGTTGGGTGACCCATAAGGGGGCCCAGCTGAAAGGGAGTGGTGCAATAGATTTGGGGCAATTGGATTGCAAACGTACTGCGCCAGAGAATTGTGGCAATGTATTGCAAGTAATGTACTGCACACGAAAATCGAGAACACATGTGCGCACCAAGTGTATTGCAACCCCGCAAGCCTATTGCACCAAACCTATGTCACCCCCCCTTCTTGCTGGACCCCCTTTGGGGTCCACCCGAACGACGCGAGGAGGGCACTTGTCGGCCCGCACCTCGGCACTTCGCCGGCCGTCTGGGACGATCCGGGCACCCCCGGAACGCTCTCGACGAGGCGCGGCGGCTGGAAAGCACTCCGCGCCGCTTGTGGGGCGCCCTGGGGCAACGAGGAGGAGGAGGGAGGAGGAGGAGCTTGGAGCAGGAGGAGGAAGGCGGAGGAGGAGGACGACGACGAACACCTGAAGGAGCAAGGTCCGACTCAAAGCTTGAAAATGCACTAAGACAGGAGGAGGAGGCGGAGGAGGAAGGAGGAGGAAGGATGAGGAGGAGGAGGCGGAGGAGGAGGAGGAAGGAGGAGGAAGGATGAGGAGGAGGAGGAAGGAGGAAGGAGGGAGGAAGGAGGAGGAGGCGGCGGAGGGAGGCAGCCATCCGAGAGAGCCCAGCAGCAACAGCCACAGCGCCAGCGCCGCAGCAGCCAGCGGCGGCCACCACGCGGCGGCGGCCTCCCGGGGCCGGGCGGGCGTCTCCCTTCTCCAGGTCAGAAGAGATCCCACCGGCCCTGTGGGCCAAGGTGGTCTGGCCAGTGCTGTCCTTCTTCCAAAGACCCTCTTCCCTTCGAGGAGGGGTGCCCCCCCCCCTCCCGAGGTTTTTTCGGGGGGGGGGTCGCAGGGTTCAAAAAGATTGGTCAAGATGGTTGTTCGGAAGATTGTTCAAGATAGCTTCCGACACGCCTCCAAGATGCCCGACGAAGGCCGCTAGAGGGCTCCAAGCTCTCTGGGAGCCCCGTCACCCCCCCCCCAAAAAAAAATCGAAACCCATCACAAACCAACGGAATATACATGAGTTCGGTCTTCTGGCATTTTCGCATTCGGTGCGCTTTCGAGGCCTGAAGACCACCAAGATGGGCCCAAGACCAGAGCGCCCAAGATCGCCCCACGAGCGCCCCTCGCCGGACCCCTAAGGAGGGATTCCGATCGGCGGTGGACACACCTCCCTTCAGTAAGCCACCCTTGAATGAAAACGGCCCAGGACCGAAGCCGACGGACCTGGATCCGCAAAAATGACGGCCGCGACGCCCCCTCGCGAATCGAAAACGGCCAGTTCGCTCATCGACGTGTCAGGGTAGGAGGCCTATCAGCCTCCGATGTTGACGGCCCCGGAAACAGGGGGGCCAAACGTCGAGACCCCCCTTCTTCTCACAAACGTCCTCCGCGTTCCTGCTGCCCGCCTGTGCAGCCTGCGCGCCGCGCTGGGCGCCGCGGCAGGCCGAATACATTGCAAATGGTCCCACGCGGGCTTGAACCGCGGACCGTTCGGTCATTAGCCGAACGCTCTGACCAACTGAGCTGTGAGACCACTGAGGCCAGGGCCCAGCGTCGCAGCCGAGACACTCGCGGGCAGGACAAACACTGGCTGCGACGACTCCCTCCTTCGCACCGGCGTCCTCCACGATAGCCCCAAGAGAGGCCCTCTGGGGCAACCGAAGGGCCCCCACAAGAGAGCCACGAGAGAGAGCCCCACGAGGGCCCCGATGCCCTCCACAAGGGCTCCAAGGAGAAGGACCCCGAAACCCTTCAAAAAGAACCCGAAGAGGACTCCAAGAGAAGATTTTTGAGGACTCTGCCCTCGCCCTCGTTGTCCTTCCCCTTCCCCTCCTCCTCCTCCTCCTCCTCCTCCTCCTCCTCCTCCTCCTCCTCCTCCTCGTCCTTGCCCTCATCGTTCTCCAGTTCCGTTTCCTCCGCTTCCTCATCGATGTGATCGTCGTCTTCTTATGATTACTAGTACTATGATTAGCCTTCCTCATGAGATGTCCCTTACTATGATTATTCATACTCCTGTTCCTCCTCTTCCTCCTCCTGCTCCTCCTCTTCCTCCTCCTCCTCCTCCTCCTCCTCCTCCTCCTCCTCCTCCTCCTCCTTCCCTTCCACCCACGCGGGCCCCAGGGATGGCCCGGAGAGGCCCTCCAAAGGCCAGCCCCTGGCTCCGAAGATCTTCCTGTTCACCCTGGTTGCCCGCTCTGGCTCACCACGTCTATTCGTCTCTCTCCCCGTCAACTCTCACTCGCAGCCGCAAGCGAAGGCAGCCGCAAGCGAAGGCGCAGGCGGCGTCAAAGGTCAACCCAGGCTACGAGCGGAGCCTAATTGCCCAGCGAGCGCACTCACGGCTGCCGAAGCTGCCGCCGAGGGACGCTGAGTGGCGCCGGGGGCTGAAGGCAGGCTGCAAGAGCTGCCAGGACAGCCAGGCGGCCGACGTGCAGCCATCCCGCTGATGGGGATACTTTTTGTAGCAACCGCAGGCGAAAGCGCCAGCGGCGAGTCGCTGGAGGGGATACGCGAAGCGTGAAGAAGAACACGGAATCCGAAGATGGAGAGAAAGGGGAAGAATGTTGGCTAGCGAGGACCCGCAGCAGTGGGCTATTGCACTGTGGATGTGCAATATATGTGGCGTAAGGTGTCTGGTTTGAGCTGCGTGGTGCCATGTCTTCATGTGGTGCGAGCTCTGCGGTGCAGGCTAGGTTTAGGTCGGGCCTGTCCCCCTACAGGCGGGTTTTGGACGAAAAATTAAAAATACCCAACAAATACCCCCCAATGCTCAAAAATGATCAAACAATCGTCCCCCGACTATTTTTGGGGATTCTTCTCTTGCACAGTTGTGTTCTAGAGCTCGGACCTCTTTATTTTCGTGGTTCGTCGTCGTCTCCCTGGCCCTGGCTTCCCACCCTCGTCGTCGTCTCCCTGCCCTCCATCCCCTGGCCTCCGCGCCCCAATCCGGACCTCTGGCTCCTGGTCCTAGCCCCAGTCCTCCTGCCCTGGCCCTGAACCCAGCCTCCCTCCTTGGCTCTGGCGTCCCCTGGCCCTGGCCCCAGCCTCCCTCGCCCCGGACCCTTATT